AAACAAAACTATCTAAACAAAACGTCAATAAAATATTCATAATGAATAATTTACCACTAAATAATTCAGCAATAACAGTGCAACATTTAATAACATGGCAATAATTTTAAATGTTGTATAAACTCACGTATAAACAAACATCCACCGAAGCCTTTTTCCGAAAACATCACTGTAAGAGGAAGAATTAATAGGACAATAATATATGTATTGCTTCTTCAAGGCCATCAGATTATGATTGCAAATCATCAAGCTGATTTCTGTCTTATAAACCAATCATAAATCAAATCACAAAACAGATGTACTGAAAATAATACCAAAATTAATTGGGCAAAAAATAAACATTTACATGATATGACATGTTTCAGATTAAAAAGTTTACAAAGAGAGAGACATAAGCACTTATTTCTAAAATGTCATTTTATACAAATTGAAAGCAGCTTGTAATGGGACAAGCCAAACCTCTAAACCAATGTGTTCTTGACTGGTGGGTCGGTTCTGATGGAGCCGCAAAGAGCAGGGAAAACAATGTCAGATCCACATAAAAAAATCCATTCAAAAATAGTCATTATTTCATAAATTAATAAATAAGGCAATTTTCCATACTTGATGTGGACTGTAAAAATGGATTCTCAAGCAAAACAAGTTGAGAATCACTGCTTTAACCAACCAATGTCAGTACATTTTTAAACAGACCCATATATCTGGAAAACCTGTGTTGATTTCAGGTTGGACAATTCTCAACTTTAGTGCCTATATATAGCCACCCAAAAGTGAATCAGACTGTGAATTTGGCCGACAAAACCCTATTCACCACTATAAGCAGGGAAATATCTAGTAATCAACACTGTTGCAACCTTGATAGAGGAGTTTAGTGAATTTGACTTCTTCTAATAGTAACACACATTTACATCAGTGTGTATATGTACAGTGCAGTCTTTCACAGCAGGAAAGAATGAGTGAGATAACTATTCAAAGGATTTAAAGGACGTTTAGTGATAATGCTAATTTTATATATATATTTCTGTCATGACAACTCTCGGAGGGATTGGCATGGTAATGTACATGATAATGTTAATGTATTTGGTCTTGGTGGAATAGATCTGCTATGCTGCTGCTGCTGCAGAGCAAGTGCCGAGACTTGCTACTGCCAATACATCCACAACATGCTGCTGTGAGCATGTAAGAAATATTGCTGCTGATACAGAGGGACATAAGCATTAGTTAAGAATAACACTCTTAAACAGTGTTTCTCATATACATATAATCTGTTATACATAAACACACCCACAATTTCATTTACAGTCTATCATAATTTCAAAATAATGTAAAAAACTACACAAACACATGAACGCCTTCAGTGATTCCATAATACAATTGTTTTAAAAAAAAGTGTCTGTTCTTAAGAAAATGTTGGTCTTTGAGCTCCCTTCTACACTGTAGCACAACTAAATGTTTTCTTTCCTTTGCATAAAAGATTATAAATCAGTTTAAACTGGTTTTAACTGGTACCCCAGCTGGTTTTAGGAGTTTTGGGCACTTTTAGCTGATCAGACTGCGAGACACTAGCTTGTAATACCAGGAAATGAGATTAGGCTGGTTTAAACAGGTTTTTATAGCGGGGCATGTATGAAAGTTACCACAGTGGGAAGTCATATAGAGTGTAATTACGTTGACCAGATGTCTTGATTTATCCGAGACAGTCTCAGTCTCATGAGATGTGCCCCTTACAGTGTATTCTCAATGTGTTATTGTCTGTGGTTAATGATGACAATGCAATCTGATGAACTAATGCAAACTGATTTACCAATATTTTCATCCAAGAACATCTTTTCAGAAAATCAGCTTGCAATCTGATTGCCATAACTTGTACTCAGTGCAAGGACCTTCTCAAGTCCCCTAGCAAGGTTAAGCTAAAGAGATGCCCGTATGAAAATCAGTTTTCAATGACAAACAGAAGATGTTTTGTTGTCACTTTAAATGTTACTTTATGTTGTTCACAGACAATTTTGTCAAAATCTCATCTTCATAATCGTGCTGGCTAAAATTTGTCCAAATCTGTTTCTTAATGAGCTCTGAAAAATAGGAAAAAATATTTTTATGGATTTTTAGATTTTTTTTTTAGCATTCAACCTCAACAGTATAAAACGCATAACAGGAGGATAAACGATTTCTTCCCCAATAGATAAATAAAGAAATAAATTATGAAAAGCTTCAGAACTAGGGGTCTGGTTTGGTGCTTAAAATCAATCCCAGCATATCATGACAAAATTATGACTAATATACGTATAATTTCAAGATATGGAAATCCCCATGACCTTCACGCAAGTCTTATGATGCCACTGAAAGAAACAAGATGAAGTGTGTTAAACCTCCCACTGTAAATGTCACAATCTACAGAAACAATATGTTTGCCATTATTTATTTTGTTATTTGCATTCTCAGTGTATTCTGCTGAAAATTTGGGAAAACTGAATAAAACAGGAGAGAGGTTGAAACATTATCAAACTAAAGATATGACGCCAAATATGATATGCACCAACTACATTGTACAACAGTTCCTCTTATTTTGCTGAAATAAACACCATAATATGAAACTAATGTTATTCCATCATCTCAGTCAATGGTGGCTGGTAATGCTCCACAAAAATCCAACCCCTGGGTATTCTAGACTATAAATATCAGAAAATGTAATAAACCTGTACAGCAGTGTCTAAAAGTCTGAGAACACTAGCGATGAAATCTATTCTAATAAAAATAAAAATAAAAAGTCCTCATCATATATTATATAATTAGCATAACAATTTACATTAAAAAGTAAAACAGAAAAACAAAGCACACAAATTTCTTCTGCTATGCAGCATACAAGCTGCCCGTGTCATGTCATCTGGCATGATTGAGAATGTTCAAAAAACATTGCAAAAAAAAATCTGACTTTTGTATAATGTAATTAACATTGGTAAAAATGTGACCCTACCTGTGAAAACCCAGCTAAAGTCATTTTTTTGTGATTTACTGTTTTCTACATAAAATCATCCTTCATAATGATGTAGAACATTCTGTGAAAATATAACCTTTATATCTTTAATATTGACAGAGTAAGGCCATGTCAAAGATTGAAATCACAGTGAAATGAATGGTTGAAATCAAACTTTGATGCTTGTTATCTCATAATTAGATTTTGAGACTTTAGCCTGGATTTCACAGACAGGGTCACAAATGACAAATCTGGTTAAATTTCATTGTGAATCTGAAATATTTATACTTTATATGTCACAACCTCATTTTTTAATCATAAATCTTTGTTTATCTAGGCTTTAAAAACATTTTGACCCAATTGTACAACTCTGATGTGAGAAGAAACCCACAACAGGGGGTGGAAAAATAGTGAAATAACACTTGTTTTTTGATTGCTTTTACCAGAAATACAAAGCACATTATACAGAAAAACAAGGAATCTTAAGATGGGACAGTAGAGTATGATGGCAGTAACTGACCATTAGCTACACTTGTTCTGCAAACATTTTGGTTGAAATCAACTGTCAGTCTCAGTTCGCGCTGTGGGTGACTGCAATCCACTTTCATTATCCTTCAGGGTCTTTCAAACTGACTCGCTTCCATAAAGCTTCAAACAACAGACTCTGTTTCAAGATTTCCTTTGAATCCTGTTTGAGCTCGTATATATTCCACCAAGTTGTCCGCTTAATTGTGCAACACATATTGCGCACCACAAAGTTTCAGTGTTTCAAACACGGCTTGGAAGGACCTGTAATACACACAGCTGAAGTCCCCGGCTTTGCCTGATGAGAAATCCAATTGTTTGTCAGAGGAGCGAATCAGTTGCCCTTGTTTGATTCAGCGCTCTAAAAAAAACTCTCACTTCCAGTCCACAAACTGAGCTCAAATAACACAAAGAAACAACTGCACTTCAAAACAATAACCAACAATAAACAGATTATAAAAGCATATAAAACACAAAGAGGAGACAAGAAATAGCAGTTCAACTGCTAGCTGCCCCGGATAATCACACACATGCAAGTATATCCATGCACCCACACACATTCATCAAATTTTTCCATAAACTGCATCCTAAGATCTAATTTATTTCATGTCTCTTTCAAGTTAATGTTAACTGTCAACCATGACAGTCCCGCCCACTGTGAGAACTCACAGGTCCAAAATCAGTTTCCTCATGACTGTACATCAAATATCTGGCTCACATCATGCAGCAGTGATGATAGACAAGATTAGTTGTCACTGGAACACTGTAAATGGTGAGATCTGGTAGCTATGATTGCCCTGATGAAATCAGTGAGACGCCAGATTTAAAGGGTTAGTTCACCCAAAAATGAAAATTAGCCCACAAATTACTCACCCCCGAGGCATCCTAGGTGTATATGACTTTCTTCTTTCAGACGAATCCAGTCGGAGTTATATTAAAAATTGTCTTTGATCTTTCAAGCTGTTTAATGGCACTCAGCGGGTGTTGCATGCATCAGTCCAAAAGCAGTTAAATAAAAAGCGCCCATCCATAAAAAAAGTGTCTCACACGGCTCCGGGGGGGTGAACAAAGTCCTCCTGTAGCGAATCGATGCGTTTTTGTAAGAAAAATATCCATATTTAAAACGTAATAATCACTTTAATGTAGCTTGCGCCAACAGTTGTACACTGGAAGCAGCTCCGCGCTGATGAGTCTCATTTAAACCAACGTTTGTTAACAGGAGCAAAGGAAGCAAAGTTTCCTTACTTTAGCAAAGCAAAACCAGTCTCCTCTTGGCTTATATCGAAATCCTCTGACATTCTTCTTTACAAATACTCATTTTGTACTTCTAATTAGTGACCGTTGTTTAGTTTTGATCTCTCCCCTGCGCTTCCGCGTGCGTCACTTCTGAACGGCGCATGCGCAAAGCCGACCTCATACGTCATCCGCCCAGAACTGCTTCCGTAATATAACTCCGACTGGATTCGTCTGAAAGAAGAAAGTCATATACACCTAGGATGACTTGAGGGTGAGTAATTTGTGGGCTAATTTTCATTTTTGGGTGAACTAACCCTTTAATGACCAATTGTAACAAGCCTCATGTCACTTCTATCTGTAGCTATGACCCGAATAGCATTTGGCTGATCATTTTGAGACTGTTTTGGTCTAACGGTGGTAAAATAAGAATGAATAAGCATTAAAGATGCTAAACAGCCAGCAGACTCTTCGGTATGGTTGGTGTTGGAGCTGGTGGAAGTTTTAATACAGTATATTGAAAAACTGTTGAGATATTGAGGAAAATGCCCAGTTATGGCTCTGCTTCTTTTGAGGAGCTCTGATCGAAAGAAAGGGATTGTAAAGTTGTGCTTTGGTTGGAGTAGCATTTGCTGAGGATTGTGGGATGGCAGGCGGCTTTGTAAGGGAATAAACTTGGGTTTTATGTTTATGTTGGGGCCATATTACGGGACAGACCCAGCAATTCATTTTTGAATTACACAACGCTGACTTGCCTGGCTTTATGCTTGTGGTTAATATTTCTTTTAAGTGCTTATGTATGTTTTTGAGTCTCAGTATCGATGAGACTGATGAGAGTGCTGAGATGAGGACGAGTATCCCATAGTGCTTTGCGACTGGGTAGAGCCTTGGACAGTGCTCTGGTAACCAAGACGCGAGCTGGAGTGCTGCAATGAAGAACAAAGATGAATTATTAAAATGATCAAGTATTTTGCATGACCAAGTTTTTTGTAATACTGAGCTGAACACTAACTTGTAACTAACTGAACACAACTAACTTGTATATTGTTACATAATAAACATTTATTTCATTTACACACCTGATGTGTTTCGAATGACTCTTGTTGCTGGATGCACAGCAAGAGTTTGTCTGTTCAGCTCTGACTACTTTGATGGCTGATTGCAACTTCTGTCAGATTGTGCTATATGCTATAGCAAGAGATGTGTTAAATATCATTCATATTTATGTTTGCAATTTTGTCAAATATTTTTTCTTGATTTGATGGTTCTTTTATTTTGCAATTTCAATGTTTTATTTATTTAGTTTTAAAGAATAAAATACGAAACTGCATTGTGTGGGCTATGAATTCAGAACAGGCAGTGGTTTACCTTTTTAAATATAATATTGTGAAGCATTCTTACAATGTGATAAAAGTTAAGCATAAAAATAAAATAGTATGGGCCTGCATCTATTTTTTTTTTTTTTATTATTTTAAAATGTATTGTTTGGGGGACCAAAATAGTCTACATAAAAAAATAAAAATCACAAACATGACACTTGTGAATAAAATAAGTTATCTCTTTTAAAATAGCTTTAAATCAACAAACTGACAGAGTTTCAAGTGTTGACAGCTCCATTCAATTAAATTTGGATTGCATTCTTTATGTTATAAACGGTCATGTTGGGTACAGAATTCATTCTCAATGTTGGGTATAACATTCATCATCAACGTCAGTCTTACAAACAAGTAAAGGAAACATTTGGTGGAGGAATATCTATAATATCTAGATACTAAATCCACTTACACATTCCTGCTTACATTATGAATGATTACTCAATGCCTTCAATAAAAATGTAAAAAGTTCAGATTTTTGTGTTATAAGTAGTCAGATTTAGACTTGGCAAGTTTTCACAATCTTCACACTGGAAATATATCTGTGTTCATAGCCATTATACTGGTGTTATCGCTGGCTGAACGCTAGGTTGTGCTAGGACACACGTGCAGTGCTTACAGCGAGGTGTCTGAAGAGGAAAGACTGAGGAATGCATTATTTAGGGCTATTCTCTGTGTTAGGATATTACCATAGGAACTGCTGCTGTCAAGTAAGAGGGGAAGATGGGGAAAACTTGACTGTTTCACAGTTTCCACAAAAATATTGTGCAGCACAACTGTTTTCTGGAGGATTATGAGATGCTATGCTTGTTTAACATGCACATTTTTTTTTTTTATCTGAATTGTAGGGCTGGGAAAATAAATCGATGCATCGCGAATCGAGAAATGATTCAGCATCGATTCTGAGATTTTCCGAATGCATTGCGATTCTTTCTCGAGTCGATCCTGAGCTTAGTTTTGAACGGCAGATGGCGCTGCATGCTTTAGAAACAGCCGTACTCTGCTTGTTTCCAAATCCTTACACACACTTGAACCTAAAATAATCATTCATAAAATTCGAAAAGGTTGAAGCGAATTACAAGGGTGTTCACGGTGGGCTGTGCTTACATTAATTTGGCGTCATAAAAGCATTCTGAGCCGAGGTGAAATTACAGACTCAGCCGAACGCACAAGTGCTCTTCAGCGCTCTTCTTTGTGAGCATTTGAGTGTGAGGATAAAAACTAGATTAGAGCGCCATCTGCTGTTAAAATCTAAGCTCAGAATCGATTCAAGAGAGAATCGCAATGCTTTCGGAAAATCTCAGAATCGATCCACGAATCGATTCTGAATCGATTTATCGTCTCAGCCCTACTGAAATGCAGATGAATGGAGAATTCAGATCTCTGCCCCCCAGCGCCCCCTTTGAGGCTCTTCATTTACCTGGTAGTCTGTTTGAAGAACACTGGTTCCTGAGGTCCGAGGTTTTTTGTTTGGTGGCCCCTGTTCCTGTCCATGCTGTATGGAGGGGCCCGTGTTGGCCCCTGCAGTGCCTGATGTGCCGTTTGTCTGCGCTGAGCTTTGCTGTGTTGGAGCCTGCTGTGTCTGCGTTTGTGTCTGCGTCTGTGCAGCCGTCTGCTGGTGCTGCTGCGTCTGGTTCGAAAGATGACCACATACATACAACAACATATCACTGCGCTTTGAATGCTACCTTTGATTATCTGGCATTGAAAGCTGGACAACCATTTTAACGTTCATTATTAATTTCAGGATTTTATTATTTCGCAATAACAAACACTAAAACTTTTGTAAGACCACATTGAACAAGAACATTACAGTGGCAGAGTGCACATAGATAACAGTTCTTTCAGTGTGCAATATACTGGTGAATATTGTTTTTTTTTTACAAATATCATTTGTATCATGGTTTGGTTCAAAACTGAACCAAACTCCACTTTATATTCAGGTCTTGGTAGAAAAAAAAAGGGCATCCTCTTTTTTGAAGAACTTTCCTTCCAAAAGCTGGACAACCATTTTAACGTTCATTATTAATTTCAGGATTTTATTATTTCGCAATAACAAACACTAAAACTTTTGTAAGACCACATTGAACAAGAACATTACAGTGGCAGGGTGCACATAGATAACATTTTTCTTTCAGTGTGCAATATACTGGTGAATATTGTTTTTTTTTTTACAAATATCATTTGTATCATGGTTTGGTTCAAAACTGAACCAAACTCCACTTTATATTCAGGTCTTGGTAGAAAAAAAAGTGCATCCTCTTTGTTGAAGAACTTTCCTTCCATTTAGCCCTTTCCCTTTAGTTGCTGTCAAGTTTCACTATCCACACTTGTCTTATGCCAGCATATATGGAGAGAGAAGGGATTGGTAACTGACTGACTGATTAAATAACATCAGGATTAACTAAGTATATATAGAGAGATGACAAAAAGGTCTTGTGTGCCAGGAATGGCTATAAAAACGTGAAAACAGGAATGTATAAAAGAGAGGTCATTAAAAAGAAAACATGCATGCTTGTGTCAACTAGTAAGAGAGACGGCCAACTTTATTTAGATTAAAACATGGAGATTAAATTAAATTGGTAAAAATAAAAGATGTTCATTTTTATAAATCTGTTTAATTGCAACATACATGACTGTGTAAAAAAAAAAAAATCAAAGTTCTTTAAATGTTTACGTTCTACATTTTTTAAGTACAAAAAATTGTGAAGAGTATTACAATTAAAATTTTTACTTGTATCGAACACCAAGTTTTATTCTATGTCTGAAATGCTGACCAATTTTGGCATTTTTTTTTATTATTGGCATTCGCTGATAAGTTATTCTGTTTGGACGATTGGGATGTCACTTGTCTCTTTAAATTTACATTAATTTTTATTTTTGTGAGCTTTCTTTCTTTTACATTGGGTCCACTAGGCCAGCGAAGAATGTAAGAATTATTGGTAACACTTTACTTGAAGGGGTGTGCATAAGACTGACATGACACATGTCAATTTCCATTGCAATTAACAAGCTTGTATAGACAAAAATATTATATAAAATAAATATAAATTTGATTGATGGAAATTGACGGAATGCAATTGTTGTGAATGTGCGATTTACTGTCTTTAAATTAAATAGTGTGATATCATATATAACATCCATCTCAAAGACACAGTCAAAAATCTACATTAATCAACCAGTAATTAAAAAAGGCATATTTCTAGCTCTGAAAGCTAATTGGATAAGTGTAGGCTAGGAATACATGTTAAAAACATCCTAAGATGTTTGTTGACATGCTGGGCAGCAACAGTTTGAGACTGTCAAAGCTTAGTTATGATGATTACTTAAATAAATATATATTTGAACAAAACAATTGCTCATAATAAATAATTTAATTTTGCATGAATGCACTGGGTATGCAATGACAATGTCTTGTGTTTTGTGTATGAATGAGGAAATGCTCCAAATTCCCAAATTCATCAAGGGAAACCCACTGAGAATGGCACAAGAGAATAAAAGATGCAATCATAAGTAGACTAGTGTTATTAGATGCAGCTTTTTTGTGTGTGCTGTCAAGTGTGCATATTTTTTGTACACGCAAACCTTTTGTAAATCAGGGCCTTTGTGTGGTAGGAACCCAATCCGTGTCTGTAGGTCTCTGTAATAATGGATGCGTGGTTCGGATATGTTTGCGAGGTTAATTTCCTCAAATACACTCACAGCCATCCTGAAATTGTGCTATCAAGAAAAGCAGCAGTTGCATGAACATTATATGATGTGGCCAAAGCCACTAAATGTACAAGTAAATATTGGCTCACTCCAGCATTGCAGACGTGAGATGGTTATTTTATGCTGTGTGTGTGTTTGTTTGTTTGCATTTGTTTGCCTTTTGCTTGGATTCATTTCATCCTTCAGTGACCGAGTGCAAAGCTTAACAACAGTGCTATCTGAGCTCTTGCTCTGCTGTTCTCTCTTTTCTGCACCTACACTCAGCTTCCCTCTTAGTTCCACTGGAATGAGTAACATTACAAATTAGCAGTAGAGACTATAAGAAAGCAGCCATTTCAGCAGATGCTTTTATCCAAAGTAGTTTGCAGTACACATTTTACAGGGACAATCTCCCTGGAGCACCAAAGTGCTCACAATGTCCTTTGAAGTTTTCAGACCTACAACTTTGCTAAAGTGAGCTTCAAAACTGCTCATACTTACAATAACCACTGTATAACCACCTATGGCTGTTCAGACAGGCCACAAAACAAAATCAAACGAGTTCAGTGGTTGGTAGTCTGAAAAGCAAATATAGCCAACACATTATCTACACCATATTTAAATAAAAAAATGTAAGGCCAAAGGAAGCATGTACAAAGAAAATAGCATAGGTCCTATAACAGATCCTTGAGGGACCCCACAAGTAATAGGTACCGAGGACAGTAATCTGTCCTTAAGAGAAAGAAAAAATCCTTCCCTTGTTCTTTGAATTCTAGTCCAATGGAATATGAAATCACATCACAAAAACAAAAAGTAAGCTTATAATTAAATCTAATCCCATTCATTTTTCCAAAATTTATTTCAGGAACATGTTGTCTGTATATGAGGATGGACTTAAACGCAGTCCTCCAGCTGAACTGAATATCATAATAATCTATTTATGGTTCAAAACAGAACTCTAGGTGCATTAAAAGTGCAAAACAATATCAAAGCCTGCACAGCTCTCCATCAAATTCTCCCCTTAAAATATAAAAGAGACTTGTAACTATTTCTTATTTAATTTCCATTCAGCGTTCCTGCATTCCTGCCTAAGGATGCAAGTTTGATTCTTAAGCCATGGTTCTGAATGAATTTTATATTTCCTGACTATATATGGAGCAACAGAGTCAACAATGTCTGTACAAACACAGTTAAACTGTGACTAACTCCTCTGGACCAACAGAAGGAGGGGAGACCTAATAAATCTCAAAAATTAGGTGGCTATATAAACTTCTGTGAAGTCCAGAGCTGTGGATGAAATAATAACATGGGAACAGAACAAAATAGGCTGAAGAGTGGAGGGTTTACATGGATAGAAAACATTAAACATAACAGGTATATGATCAGAGATATTAGAGATATAAACATTTCTAGTCTACTTCTTAAATGTTTCTTGTCGTTGCAACCAATGTAGATCGACAACATATCCAAACAAAAGGATCTGATTTCATTCTTTGCAAAATTACAGTCTGGAAAGTCAGTGCTAAAGATCACATCTAAAAAACAAATCAGAACCGGACGCAGTGTGAGAAAAACTTATGTTTTTTAATCAGCCATCGTTACCTTCTCTGTTTTCTCCTCTGGTTCATCCTCACTTAGAAACTCTCGTTTGGGGTAGGGAATCTGACATCCTGCAAATACACTAAAAACACACACATGCACACAAAGAAAACATTAAAGCAGTTTTTATAGGAACTGCATACGTTTCTCATGCAAATTTGGTAAATTAATTGCAGGTGAACAACTATGATTTTCGTTTAAGCAGTTATAAAAGCTGTTTGAAAGAGGAAAAACAGGAAATATGTGTGGTATGCTACACTACATAGTGAAAAGAAAGCAGACACCCACTTCTAATTTAAGGGTTTGGCTAAGTTCCAGTGAAAGCAAACCTTATTGCAATGGCACAGAACGACATGACGTGAGTTCCATAAAAAAAAAAAAAAAGAAGATCCATTGAGTCCAAACCAAAGCTCAGACATGAACCCTACTGAACATGAATTAGATGAATGAACTTCCCAAAGCCTTGTTTCTACAGTTGGGAAGCCTTCACAGAAGATTAACTCCCTATTAATGCTAATTGTTTTGAAAGTACATGTTGAACAAGCACATATGTGTGTGGTGTTTGGGTGTCCACAGTTTTCTACTCTGAGATTACTTAGCATGTGTCTAGATGTGTGTGCATGTGGAGTGAGTCTTACTCAGACGTAGGTAAGGGATCCTCCAGGAAATATGGGTCCTGCAGTGCCTGCTCAGAAGTGATTCTTTTGGTGGGGTCCATAGTAAGCAATTTCTGGAGCTAGATTAGATTAGATTAATTACTGTGGGAAGGATGAACTAGATTAGATCATTAGTTGACTAGTTGGTGTTGAAGCTACGATCGGGCGTGTTTTTTGGTCAAATTGGATGTATGGACACTAAATGCGGCAGTTTAATAGACTTATATCTATCTATTTGTTCAGTATCGGTTAGTTAACCGATACTGAACAAATAGATAGATAAATAGAAAGGATAGATAGATAGAACATTAACTAATTATTTCACAAAACTTCCAAAGTTTTTATGTAAGAAACACTCTAATACAGAGAAGGATAACAAAATTGCTTATACGGTCAGGTCCATATATATTTGGACACAGGCACAATTTTTTATTATTTTAGCTGCTGACCAAAACATATTCAAGTTACAGTTATGTAATATGCATAGAATATGGGCTTAAAGTGCACACTCTGAGCTTTAATTTGGGGGTATTCTCATCATAATTGGAGGAAAGGTTAAGGAATTACAGCTCTTTAATATGTACCTCCCCCCTTTTTCAAGGGACTATAAGTAATTGGACAGTTGACTCAAAAGCCATTTCATGAACAGATGTGAGCTATTCCTTCGTTATTTATACATCAATTAAGCAGGTAAAAGGTCTGGACTTGATTCTAAGTGTGCCACTTGCACTGAACTCACATCATGCGGTCAAAGGAGCTCTCCATACAAGTGAAACAGACAATTGTTAGGCTTCAAAAACAAAACAAATCCACCAGAGAGATAGCAGGAACATTAGGAGTGGCCAAATCAACAGTTTGGTACATTCTGCTGAAAAAAAGAATGTACTGGTGAGCTCAGCAACATAAAAAGGCCTGGACATCCTTAGAGGACAACAGTGGTGGATGATCGGATGATCCTCTCCATGGTACAGAAAAACCCTTTCACAACATCCAGCCAAGAGAAGAACACTCTCCAGGAGGCAGACGTGTCACTGTCAAAGTCTACAATCAAGAGAAGACTTCACCAGAGCAAATACAGAGGCTTCAGCACAAGGTGCAAACAAGGCCAGATTTGACTTTGCCAAAAAACATCTAAAGGCCGGGACACACCAAGCCGACTTCAAAGAACTAGCGGCGACGAAAGCCGACGGAACAAAAAAGCTGCACTTGAACACACTGCACAGGCTACAGCCGACTGCAAACTAACACGTGCGTTCTGCGCCTGCGTGAGAGGAGTTAGCTCTCTATATAAGCAGCTGTCAATAGTAAATATTCATCATTCAAAAAGAGAAACCAAAACAAAGATATACAAGATAAACGCAGATATACGAAACATAAACAAAGCAGTGCTTGCTTACCATTTTGAATATCAGTAACGTTGATAACATTTAATTTATATCATTTTAAGCGGCTCATGTTGTTATGAAAATATTTGCATATTGGAATGCTTGGGAAAGATCATGTAACATTAGAATGGACTTGTTCGCTAAACTGAACATCCAATCAGAGCTCTCACTCGCGCGAACGGTCCCGACGCTGATTTAACATGTTGACGAGAGCCGACGAGTGGAACACACCAAACAAACTAGCCTGACCGAAGATCACCGACGGCCGACCGTCGGCTTGGTGTGTCCCGGCCTTAAAAAAGCCAGACCACTTCTGGAAAAGCATTCTTTGTGGACGGCTGAAATTAAGATCAAACTGTACCAGAATGACGGGAAGAAAGAAGTCTGGAGAAGGCTTGGAACAGCTCATGATCTAAAGCACACAGCATCATCTGTGAAAGATGGAGCAGTGTGATGCATGAGCGTGCATGGTGTTAGTGATGAAGTGACAGAAGACAGAAGCAGCTGGATGAATTCTGAAGTGTATAGAGATATACTCTCTGCCCAGATTCAGTCAAATGGAGCAAAGTTGATTGGATGGTGCTTCATAGTACAAATGGACGATGACCCAAAACATACAGCAAAAATAACCCAGGAGTTTGTGAAGGTAAAAAAGTGGATTATTCTGCAGTGGCCGAGTCTATCTCTTGATCTCAACCCGATTGAGCAGCATTTCACTCGCTGAAGACAAAACAAAAGGCAGAAAGAGCCACAAACAACAACTGAAGTCAGCTGCAGTAAAGGCCTGGCAAAGCATCATGAAGGAGGAAACCCAGTCTCTGGTGATGTCCTTGAGTTCCAGACTTAAGGCAGTCATTGCTTGCAAAGGATTCTCAACAAAATATAAAAAATGAACATTTTATGTATGATTACATTTATTTGTGACCTTGGAGCACAAAACCAGTCATAAGGGTCAATTTTTTGAAATTGAGATGTATACATCATCTGAAAGCTGAATGAATAATCTTTCCATTGATGTATGGTTTGTTAGGATAGGACAATATTTGGCTGAGATACAACTATTTGAAAATCTATAATCTGAGGGTGCAAAAAAATCTAAATATTGAGAAAATCATCTTTAAAGTTGTTCAAATGAAGTTCTTAGCAATGCATATTACTAATCAAAAATTAAGTTTTGATATATTTACGGTAGGAAATTTACAAAATATCTTCATGGAACATGATCTTTACTTAATATCCTAATGATTTTTGGCATAAAAGAAAAATCTATAATTCCGGACCTGACCGTATATATATCTTCATGTAATCCAAGTGATTCTGTGATGGTGGGATCAGATCTTTGTGTGGACCACGCCAATAGCTGTTGTAGGACTCCTTCGTTTACAAATTTGACTGGATTATTGCAATATTTGCAAAAGGAATGTCTAAAATCTTAATTTCCTACTGCAACACTAAAGCAAATGATTTACATAAGTAACCAACCACCTTAAAACTAACATTTTGTGAAACATATAATGTTGAAGGAGGAAACCCAGTCTCTGGTGATGTCCTTGAGTTCCAGACTTAAGGCAGTCATTGCTTGCAAAGGATTCTCAACAAAATATAAAAAATGAACATTTTATGTATGATTATATTTATTTGTCCAAATGCTTATCTAGGAATTACACATAAACATAATATAATAGTGCACAGTGACATTTAACAAGGCTACGAGTCTAAATAAGGACTAATGATAACACATGAACTCACTTGTTATGTGTCTCCAACTACTATGTACTTTTGAAAATTATGCATTTGATACAATTATTTGGTACTATTGTGTGCATTTGATACACTGTACTTACAATTAAAGCATCTGCCTTTACTGCTAGCTCTTTACTGAACAGTCCTGCATGTACATGCACTTATTATAGTAATTACAACAAAGGGGTTAATAACTAGGTACTAAACCTCATCCTACCCCCAAACCTAACCTTAACTCATGCAGATACCTTATATTACCCAGTACTTTCGAAGGTAAGTACACTGTAAGTACACCTAAGAGCATGTACTGTGCAGTCGTTAACATCTGTAATTACTCTACCAAAAACTCTACCTGTATCATAACCCCAGTAGCAAAAAAACGTAAATTCAATGAGAGTTTTTCAGAAGCACACTGCATCAAATTCGGTGCAAACAAACGCTCTTTCAGTGTTTAAAAAACTATTTTTGCGCTAATCTTATTGCATATGCATTTGTAGAAGATTCACTTTCAAATGCAAAGTTTAAGGGAAGAGAGCATTTAAATAAATCATGCAAGGTGATTTACTGAGGTTTGGTAGTCAGTTTACTGGTATTTGCGCCATTATTTAACACCCAAAAAAGCATGTCTTAAAGGGATAGTTCACCCAAAAATGAAAATGTGATGTTTATCTGCTTCCCCCCAGGGCATCCAAGATGTAGGTGACTTTGTTTCTTCAGTAGAACACAAACTGAGATTTTTAACTCCAACCGTTGCAGTCTATCAGTCGTATAATGCATGGCAATGGTAACAAAATCTATGAGAGTTTTTTGGGTGAACTATCCCTTTAACTCATAGTAGATTGCACATGCCTGGTTATCATCGGCTCTGCTTTTTTGCGGCCCTTCGCTAATTTGCGCTGGTAGATTGCATTATGGAAATCCATCGCCGCACTCTCACGCTAATTTACCCTGTTTAGTAAATCTGGTCCTAAATATCCATGCAACTTGTACTCTGTTTTCTGTGGCATTGTTTTTGTTTTGGCCCTGTTTAATTACTCTTTCAGTTCACCTGTTGTCCGATTATCTCATTAGTTTCCCTTTGTTTGGCTCCTGCTTATGAACCCTCAGTTTTCCTTTAGTATTTGTCCGTTTTCAGCTATACTTTGTGGTTAGCGAGTATCCTGTAGTTTTCTTGTGGCTTTATATATTTAAGACTGTTATTGTTAATTCTTCTTCATCGTGCGCTTCACTCACAACACCTACCGTGACAATCCAGAAGTACAACTGAATATGTTGCTTTGTTGTCTGAGTTACGTCTATGAAATATCAGCACTTTTAAATGGGCAATCTACATTGTCTGCTATTTTCCAGTGTGTTCTGTACAACTGCTGCATCATTTTTTTTCATGCTGGTCTATTATTGTGGTATAATCTATTTCATATAAACCCATGAAACAAATGACTCCAAACAGTAACACTAATATATGCAAGTAATATATCAAACTTGCAGCTCAAATACATGTGGGAAGAGGGCCCACATTCATTCCAGATTAGATTCATCTAAACTGATCAGTCTAACACAAGTGATGTAAAAATGTTTCCATTTAATTAAAATCAAATCCTGAGAGTAGTACAGTGAGGCAGAGTAAAGGTGGCCATAAGATAAGTTAAGGTCAGTCACCTGCTGGGAAGCCCATGACGCTGAATATGCGATCTAACTGGTCGTGATGGAAAGGATTGCTGGTCTTTATGTCTTCTTGTCGGCAATGGAAGATTGGTTCTGACGTCAACAGCTCAGCAAAGATACAGCCTATTGCCCAAATATCTGAAAAAAGTCCAAGAATATTAAGTACAGATAACAAAGAATACAGCCTGAAATATACACAACACATAACGTACCGATTGCTTTGGTGTAGTGTCTCGCCCCGAGCAGTAGTTCGGGTGCTCGGTACCAGAATGTGACGACCACTGGGTCCAGATCGGCCAAAGGCTTCAGTGGAGAGTTAAAGAGTCGGGCAAAACCCATATCAGCTGAGACACAAACATAGAAACCCATAAACAGCCCACTCTGATCATGTTAGCAGATCATTTCAGCCTTAGGTGAGCTATGCATTTTGTTTTTCACGAGCATAAGAGAAGACTGTCTGCTAGTAACAAACAGTCATCGGTAAGCATTTTATTTAATATTTTTAATAACTGGTGGGTTTTAGGGGTCATGAAGTGACAATGTGGCATCATAATTATAACTAGATAGTAAAATTTGTAGGCAAACTTTAAGTTGGCTTGAAAAAGCCTAGCTAGAAAGTTTGAAGTAGTTTTAAAAGCTTTAAGTTTGAAGGTTTTCAGTTTTAACTAGTTTGAAGTTTAAAGTAGTTTTAAAGTTTTGAAGACAATGCAATCTATCAGAAAAAATAGATAGATAGATAGATAGGAAATATTCAATTAAATTAGAAATTTTTGATGTAGATTCTATGGTGTTTCCATGTGGTTTCTATGGTGTTGCTATGCGGATGCTAAGGTACCCGGGGTGGTTGCTAGGTTGTTGCTATGTGGTTGCTAAGGTACCCGGGGTGGTTGCTAGGGTACCCGGGTTGGTTGCTAAGGTGTTGCTATGCGGTTGCTAAGGTACCCGGGGTGGTTGCTAGGGTGTTGCTATGCGGTTGCTTAGGTACCTGGGGTGGTTGCTAGGGTGTTGCTATGCGGTTGCTAGGGTACCCGAGGTGAGACCATTTCATCAGTGTTGCCAAGTCCGCGGATTTCCCGCTGAATTGGGCTACTCTTATACTGTTACCGCGAAACTCCCTCCTTTTTTAGACTGAGGTAGAACCCCCCGGAATGCAATTTTGGAGCGTATTTTTTATAGACATTTTCCTCAGGAAAACGACTGAGCTATATTTGGGTACCAGCTGTGCTGATTTTGTTGTGCAGTCCTGGCAACCCTGCGCTTGATTAATAGGAAAGTAGAAATTGTGCTATTTTCAAAACATAATGGAAATTGCTGACCATGTTTTGTCCCATGTGTCATATAACCCATGAGAGATTAAATAATTAGCTGTGCTGCTTACATGATGTGGCTCCAATACTCGGGTGAGTCAAGATAACACTGAAAGCCACAGTGTAACCAAACACAATAACAAATTCCACAGGCTGGTAAAAATAGTGTCGACAGCCCTGAACAGTCATCACCCATGTAAGACAATGGCTTCACATTTGCTCAGACTGACCCTACAGCCGCTTAAGCTCTCTAAACCTTGACACAGGGTTCCCACTCTTTCATGAACACCATATTCAAGGACTTTTTAAAGCACCATTTATTTTATATCAAGTACCTATCAAATTCACACCCCAGCATATGTAGCATCATGAAAGACCTATTACAGTACTTAACATTTCACACTTAACATTTACATTAAAAAATTTTAGAGTAATGAGGTTTTGAATTTGTAGGTTTCATAAATTTAGACCATTTTGAGCAGTCGTGTTCAAAGGAATTTAATTAAATCCATTGAAGTCAATGGAGTTCACACTGGTAATATTCAAATTCAATTTCTCAAATATTGATAAAAATATATATTCTTGCATCAAACTGGTTTTTGCTGTAATTCTTGTAAAAGATTTAAATTTGAGAGAATTTCAAAATTTTTAAATTAATTAAAAGTGGTTAAACAGGACTCTACGCGTACTTTTCTTTTAAAAAAAATTTAAATTTAGGAGCACAGTCAAAAATTTCAGAGCACCTTCTAATCAATAATAAAAAATTCTGATCAAATATTAGCCTTCCATTACGAGATGATATTTGACTCCTTAAAGTGATTTACAGGGAATTTAGTTTTTACACCTTTGTAATGGCATTTTTCTAACTTTATTAAAAGTATGTCATCTTTTATGTCAAATTCAAAAATTATATTTATAAGCTTTTTAAAATTTCTAATTAAAACAACAGAATAAAATCAAGTAGAATAAGAATAAGTTCCAATCAAATAAAATCAGTATTAAAAAAAAATATTTGTACCACAGAGGTGGCACAGAAGAACACAAAAGTGGCTTGTAGGTGTATTTTCAGACGTTTAATGAGGCTCAGAGGTGGCATAAGTGGAATTAAATTCATACATTCACGTTGAGGTTAATATTTTAATAATAAAATTTTGAATACAGAAATATTAAACGAATTAAATAACAGAAAAGATCCTTTAAAAATGAAAGTAAAACTGCCAGCAGGTGGCGGCAAATCATTGAGTTTATCACTGAATCATTCATTCAATTGATTCGTTCGAATGACTAATTCATTCAGGAATGAAGCATGTGACTGGCTTTATGAATGGGTAATTGATTCAGATTCGTTTAAAAACACACGTTCATTCATAAACGAAACATCGCTGTGTTTGCTTGGAAATGCGCAGCGGCTCAGCTGTGACTTTGTTCAAAACTATTTTCATTGATGAAATAGAGCAAAATCAGGCAATAGTGTTGTAGTCAGACAATACAAGTCACTTAATATTAATTTCTTGTTTAATGAACTGAATATCACATTTGCAAACTCCCTAAATAATCATTAAAAGCTGTCACTCACTCATTGCGATCTCACAAAACTCCATTATAATCGAAGAAGCTCTCTACACTGCACAATGAATCTCTTATTTACACCCTGTCGACACTTGTTTGGTATAATGAGAGGATTCGTGAGATTGCAGAACTCAGCACTGAACAAAACTCAGGTGTGGATTCTGATTAACATTGTGTTCAAGGAATCAACAGATTTGTCTGTGATACATTACTCAACGCAGCAAAAACACGTTGTAAATAAGTTAGAAACCTTTGAAGCTCCCCTGAGCGCAAACACAAATATGCTGATCAGGTCAGTCGCACTGGTGCTCCTAAATATTTTTTTTCATAGTCGTACGCAGTAATTTTCATTCACAAATGCACTGCTTCTCCATAGGTTCATGCAGGGCTGCACATCAGCTCACATGCCAGGCCCGGTGCTAAGCACCCTCAAACAAAATCAAAAGCACCCTCAGTTAAAGCAGTATTAATGCCATTTTATTGCAGATTTGGCAAACTATCCAGATGGTTTGCACTCTGGAGATCGATTTCGGTTTCAACGTGTTTTTGCAGCGTTGAGCAATGTAGCCAATCACAGTCATATCTGTTGATTTCTTGAATCAGATGCGTTTAAGTTAGAATCCACTCACCGCTCAAATCGCCGGAGGTTTTGTTCTGCTATTGTGTTCAGTATAGGGTGGCCATATGTGCCGTTCATACGGGACACGTCCTGGCCAGGATTTGCTTAAAACATCCAAAGTAGCTTGACCAATAACATGCAGGTATTGTATATAATCGACCAATCGTGGCGCGTGAGAAGGTGAGATCTACAGAGAACGATCAAAGCGATGCAAATGCGCGCACGTGTTTGTTCCTTCGTTCGACTTGAAGCGTCGCTGCGCACCGATCACTGAATGACACCAAAGTACCGCGAGAGCGATTCGAAAGCATAAGGAGCCGTCTGCTCTGCTCTCTATAGCTCTCGTGAATGTCATAAAACGATCGATCTGCACAACCTGGATAGTTCAGGAAATATAGAAATCCTGGCAAGGACGCATCCCATAAAAATGGCCCGTATGGTCACCCTAGTTCAGTACGAATCATCTCATTATAACAAAGTGTTGATGCCTTGTGCAGCATAGAGAACTTTATTGATAATAACGTATCTTTGTGAAATCGCGATGAACTAAGACGGGTGACAGCTTTTTAGTGAGCGCTCTTTGCACCATAGCAATGGACGCCACTAATATATATATACTATATATATATAGTTAGAGCACCCTCACTAATTTAAGAAGCACCCTTAGTGATTTGATTCTGGAGCTGGGCCTGTCACACGCTAAGTTGTTTTTCTCGAGCTACCCTATCTCAACCCTCAATCATTAGCGCAGTTTCGTTTTGTCTTTGACAGCGCATATAGGACAATTTTTGAAATAGCACCATTCTACGAAACAAAATGTATTTCAAATTTAATTCAAGCACTTTCAAGGACTTATATTTGTTTTCAAGTACTTTCCAGGCCTTGAATCCATGCTTCTGATATTCAAGTACTTTCAAGAAGCTTGGGAACCCTGTTGACAATATCACCTAAAAAGAAAACGAGTCGACCAAAAAAAGCTTCAGGAGAGTTACATAATATCTCATTTTCTTCCTTGATAATTTGCAACTTCAATAAAAAACATTTTCAGTTGAGGAAATCTTGATAATTATATTGCAATCCTATGCCAAAGTCAGTATATTTTACCAATTTTGACTCTTCCTCGCTCTGGGCCTTCCCCCATGACCAGGATATTGGCAGGTTTCTGAAAGACAAAGATCACAAATGACCACAAATGATCTGTTTATCTCAGAATGTCATGTAATGCTTTGGTGCTATGGCAAAACATCCTCAACAAATGGATGTGCAAATTTTTTATAAAATCATTCTAGATCAGAACAGATGTTTTCAAAATTAGAGTAGCTCAGACTTGATTAATACTTTTTAAATGTTTTTAATGAAGTCGTTTCTGTTCACCAAGGCTGCATTTGTTTGATCAAAACATAATAAACAGTAATATTACAAAATATTTTTACAATTTGAAAGAACTATTTTCTATTTAAATATATGTTCAAATGCAACTGATTTCTGTGATCAAAGCTGAATTTTTAGCATCATTACTCTAGACTAGATCCTTCAGAAATCATTCTAATATGCTGATTTGTTGCTCATTTATTATTGGTGCTCAGTTATTAATAATGGTTTTTATTATTATCAATGGTAAAAACCGGTTTTGCTTTTTTTTCAGATTTCTTTGATGAATAGAAAGTTCAAAAGAACAGATTTTGTAACATTATAAATGTGTTTACAGTCACTTTTGATCAATTTAATGCATATTTACTGAATAAAAGCGCTAATTTCTATTAAGAAACACAAACACATAGTATAGTATAACGTGGTGTCTGCATAAATATTGGGCAGCACAACTGTTTTCAACATTGATAATAATCAGAAATGTTTCTTGAGCAGCAGATCAGCATATTAGAGTGATTTCTGAAGATCATGTGACACTGAAGACTGCAGTAATGATGCAGTATTGTATATCTGTTCACACCTGCATGAACCATATATCCATGACACTCGTTTTGTTTATGGAAATATTCTGTCTCACAGGAAAGCTGTGGCAGGTGCTGAGCTATCGCTCTTCTAAATGCAACACTTATGGGATATGGCTTCTTCATTATAATATTTATGCATCTCATAATATTCATTTCACTGCTGTTACTGGGTGTTAATATTTCTTAAGGCCACGCTGAAGTGAACGTACCAGCTGCCAGAGAAAACAAGTCATTTTAATTGCATGAAACCTAAAAAACCCTTTAGAAATCTAATAAAGCATACTATCGTTCATATATACTCATAACAACAAATGGTTTTTATTTTAAGGTTTATTTCGTTTTAGCGGCAGCAAACAGAATTGCAAAAATGATTAGTTTTCCAAACTGCACAGACTCCTTTTTTCTGTCTTGTTTTCTCAAAATTACAAATACTTTATTTTATGTCTACTGGATTCTAATTTGGTGCCACTAATACCGACATTGCATGCTTTACAAAATGTTGTCGCTTATAAAGGGACATTGAAACGGAGCGGACAGACAGAAACACAGAGACGTCATGGATCTGTATGCGATTGTGGGTGACTGGCTGTTGCATCAGTAAGGAATGATGTCTTCTAATTATTCCCAGACGCTTGAGTTTCTATGAGCCTTAATGAGGGTATGTTGCTATGGGAACAGCAACCATAAGCTTTCTGTAATTCACTCTCAAAATTGCTGTTATCATTCACTAGAATTCACTTCAACAAACGTGAAGTCTTTCTATTGTAAAACTGCAGGCCTCAATGTTGAAAAGCAAAGCAAAAAATAATACTTCAGTAATTAATTGCGCGCACGCACACACACACACACACACACACACACAGACACAGACATAGGCACCACACACACACACACAAAAGGTTCAGTTATATAACAAGTTTGTAGTTTCTACCAAAATAACTTGGCTGCCTCTGCTCTGTTAGAAGAATAGTTCACCCAAAAATAGCAATTCTGTAATTATTTACTCACCTTTATGTAAACCATATGCTGTTATATTTTCAGAGAAAAACAAACATCACTTTTTCATATAACTATAGCTGAAAGTAACATGCTGGAGCTTGGCATATAGTTAATGTCAACCTCTGCTGTATGAAAAAGAGCTGCATGAAAAAAAAATACACACTAAAAAATACTAACATATGGGTTTAGAGTGAAAATGTAGCCACTTTAGATTAGGAGTCCATATTCACTATCAACTAAGAGTTTTTACCTCAATAAACTCCTCATTTGCTGCTTATTAATAGTTAGTAAGGTAGTTGTTAAGTTTAGGTATGGTGTCGGATTAAAGGATTCAATCTAAAATATGTTCATGCAGAATAAGACATTAATATGCGCTTTATAAATACTAATAAACAGCTGATATGCGAGTAATATCCATGCTAATAAGAAACTACAGTGTTCCCTAACCAAAAACTGATTTACCAGTGAAGTGAAGTAAATAATGACAGAATTTTCATTTTTGGGTGAACTCTCCCTTAAACACTTTTACACAACTTCTAAGGACAGTAAAAAACTAAATACAAACGCACTGAATATGCTGCTGTTCCTGTTAAATAACATTTACAATTCATGTTGACTAAGTCAGCTGTTGAGCACTGCAACAATGTCTATTTCTAGGTTAATGACGGAGTATGCTATTGATTGACACACACCAGGGATTGATGGGATTACATCACAGTGCAGAGACAATCCGTGTGTGACACTTTCCACTGGATTCAATCCATATCAGTCCCAGTCTGTGTGCTCATGCTTTTGACGAGCGTTAACACCAGTTGAACATTGCACAAATAGTTTAGTTTAGTTAAGATAAGACTGGATTATCCAGTGATGGATCAGGAATGTAAACAGAACTGATTTAATGGAAAAAACACTGGAAAAAAAGAGCCTGCTACAGTCGCAATCCAACTTTATTTTCTTCTTACTTTGACTGTCAAATAGTTCCTTACATAAAACTATTTGCATTGTTGGAAAATCTAGCCAATGATTTAAATAAGCTAAAACACACCTTCACAAAATGCAGAATATAATTTTTGATAATGTAGACGCACGCTTTTATCATACTTTTCTGTGTAGTGCATAATATTGCATGTCCGTAAATCAACTGTATCTAATCAAATATGTAACCCTGGAGCACAAAAGCAGTCTTAAGTCGCTGGGGTATACAGGTGCATCTCAATAATCACCGTCAGCACCGTCTATCGCGGCAAGCCTAGTTCCATGAAGATATTTTGTAAATTTCCTACCGTAAATATATCAAAACGTAATTTTTGATTAGTAATATGCATTGCTAAGAACTTCATTTGGACAACTTTAAAGATGATTTTCTCAATATT